AGCTCTGAGGCTGCCATAAGGGCGCCCGATGGGCACGTGTGAGAGCCCCGGATGGTGGTCATGCTCCTCTCTGTGGGTCACGCCCTGGGCGTGTGTAGGCTGCGCATCCTCTCTCTCAAAGCCGGGGGGCGGCTCCGTGGGAGATGGCGGGGTTCGGGTGCAGTCCGGGGACCGCAGAGAACCTGGGGGAGGTGTCAGTCCCAGAGTCATGCCCATGTCCCCAGTGGCCAGGGGTCTGGCCCCGCACAGCCCCACCCTGTGCCTGCCTAGGCTCAGTGTGTCTGGGGGGGGGGGCGGCGGGGCCTTCAGACGCTTCCCTTCGCTCCTGCCGAGAATGTGTGGCCTGGGCGGCCGCGGCCCCCCGCTTCTGTGGAGAGAGGCCTCTGGGCGCTTGCAGAGCGGAGCTGCCCTTCTGTTTCCAGCCGGGAACAAAGCCCGCACCGGAACAGCTTTCAGTGACTGAACCCAAATTGGTGGGGTGTGATGAACGGGATTCTGCCGGGCCTGCAGCCCCCGGAGGGTGGGTCCCAGCCTGGACATTGCCCTCGCTGGGGCGGTCAGTGCGTGAGAAGGCAGGGTTTTGCCCTGAGAGGTTCCGGTCACTGCGTCAGGCACCGAGCCGGAGGAGCTGCGCTTCAGCAGCCCACGGGCTGGTCCTACAGCCGGTCTCAAACTACAGAAGGTCCCAGCGTAGCCACATGGGCCCCGCTCCTGCTAGCACCCCAGAGGTGGGCACCCCGCTGCACCCCGCACCTCCGGGGCCGCCATCCAAGTGGCACCGCCCCCCGCGGGGCCGTGAGGACAGCTGCTGGTTCTCACGGTAACAGGGAGGCGGCCGCGGCCCGGCGCCCTCTGTCACAGACGAGGGAGTGCAAATTTGAGCCGGGGTCCACGCCCTTCCCGCCACTCCCAGTGACCCCTGCTCGGTGGACTCCGCACATCCCTGGTCATTGTCGCTTTTGAAAGACTTGCGGTTGTTTGTGCAGAAGTGATATTGGGGGGCAGGGCGTCGGGTATCCCCTCCCCAGACCCCACAAGGCCTTTGTACAGCCAGACGCAAGCCCGACGCTCGGGGCGGTTTGCCATTAAAAATTAGCTTCTATTCCTGTTTCTTTTGTCTGCTGACCTGACCCAACAATTCGCTTTCTGTTCCCTCACTGAAGAGGGAAAACACAAGGGCTAAACTTAGCCTTGATTGTTTTTACTTTTCTTATATTGTACTTCTGGAAGCGATAAAGATAGAAACCATTTAAACGGTATCTGCCCGCAGACAGGACGGGCACCACCTGGCCGGGGTTGACGCGCAGGCCGGCGCTGGGCCCCGCAGGGCCGTGGCCAGCCCCACTCCCGGCCGCCGCGGGGAGCGTGGCCCCAGGGCGGGAGCTGAGGCCCCGCTCGCCCGACACCGGCTGAGGCCCGCTGCGTGCTGGGCCCGCCGGGGGCTGAGTGCAGGCGGGCTTGGGGCTGATAAGTCCAGTCAGCAGAGGCGCCTTGTGGTGGACCGTCGAGGCAAATGGCTGTGAGCGCCCGGCCGTGGGCATGGCGCGTGCGCTGTGGAGCTGTAGCGCCAGCTGTCACTTGATAGAGGGCAAACGGCGGGACGAGATGCCAGGCCTTTGCAGAGGCGGGAGGGAGTGGACCGGCCGGGCTTGGGGGAAGAGGGAGCTGCACCGTGCCCTTCACTAGCGGACCAAGTTGAGAACCAGCTCTGACTCCTCCCTACAGCAAAGAAATCCTGCACGCAGGTCTCAGCGCTGGCACGCGCTGGCACAGGCGGCAGAGACGTCAGATCTCGTCGTCCAGCCCGCCCCCTCCGGGGGTTTGATAGTTAACCTGAACAGAGTGGACACCCCCAGCCCCCCAGCGCCCGAGCCTGCGCCCACTCACTCGGCTTTGTTTTGTAAGGAATGGCCGGCCCCTCAGTCACTCTTCAGCGGGGAGTGGGCCCGAGCGCGGTTCCGGGGTCTTTGGAGAATGATTTTGGACTCAACCCGACTCTCGTCTGACCTGCGGTGCCGCAGGAACTTGGTGGGTCTGGGGAGAAGGATCCCAGGAGGCGGGGGCCTGGGGGCCGCCCGAGCGTCCGCGTTCTTCCCCGAGGGGACGGCCCTCGACCGCGTGGGCTCAGGGAGCCTCCCGGAGGCGGTGAGGGGGAGGCCAGCGGGCCCACTGGGCAGCCCTGAGATCACAAGGCAGCCCTCGGAGAAGAATGGGCCGCCCGGCCAGAGGCCCCATGCGCACGCTTCCCCCACTCCCAATTCCCCTTTTTTCTCATGACTTCCCTAGAGATGGGGGAAAATTCCAGGGCAGTGAAATAAATACGGAACGGAAAGCCGTGTCTTCTGAGGGTGACATCATTCCCTTTCAATTTCACGACTTCCCGAGGCCCGTGGCGCCACGCTGGGCCCCTCTGCCGTGGCGCCTTGTGCCGTAGGAGGCCGTTGGCTAGCCCCGTGTGACGGGCATCTCCTGAGAGACCTGAGGCCGTCGGCCAGCCCCGTGTGACGGGCATCTCCTGAGAGACCTGAGGCCGT